AATGGGTTTCAATATTTTCTGCCCCTATTCCGTCCTTTAATTTGTTTTTTAGTTTATTTTTGTATTCTTTTAACATTTCAGAGTTTTTTATGTTATCTATATCGACTTTCTCTTCTATTATTATTCTTTTTCTCCATTTTCGTGGTAGTTAAATTTGTATTTTTGCTTTAACTAAGAAGTGGTCTGACTGAGCAGACACTCCACGATAGCTCCTGACATCTTCTATAATATTGCTTATCTTCAAATCTGTCATGATATGATCAATTTGGTTTTTGGTACTACCTCCGGGTGAGACCCATGTTTCTTTATGGATGTTTTTGTGTGGGAAACACAACTACTTATCCTTAGTCCTTTAGAGATTGCAAAGTTAATTAGTCGGTTCCCATTTCCATTAGAATGAGTATGGAGGCTTTCTTTTCCTATTGTTGGTCTATACATTTCTTCTTTCCCTATTTTAGCGTTGAAATCTCCAAGGATAATCTTCAGTTGGCTTTTGGCAATTGATTCGAATATTGTGTTCAGGTCTTCATAAAAAGCTTCCTTCTCGTCTTGTTGCTTGTCTTCTGTAGGTGCATAGCCATTTATCAGTATTAAATTCATATGTTTACATTAAACTTGGATATAACATAGTCTGTCATTATATGACTCAAATCTTTTTATGTATGGTAAGTATTCATTGCTAACAATAAATCCTACTCCTCGCTCATATCTTTGTCCACCACTATAAAAGATTGTATGTTTCTTTGATTTTAAATTTCCTTCTCCTGTCCATCTAACTTCTTGAATTGCTGCTATTGCAATTCCATATCCTTCTAAATTAGCTTCTACAACTGTTAGTGCGCCCGCCATGTACAGGGATCACACATTCCAGGTTCCGAGATTAAACTTATCCAAATAATTTTTCATTGGAGGCTTGGTTTTGTGTTGTTCTGGAACCCATATTTTTTTTCCTGTTTGATGTGGTTAACCTCACGCCAAGTTTATAGCTTACAATAATATTTGCAACTAGGGTTGCAAATATTCTAAACTCCTAATTTATCTTAATTATATTATTTCTTTATTTTAGTTTATTTACATACTAGAAGATATATTCTTATACAAAAAGAAAAATGATTTACAAAATAAATAAATATTATTATTATTATGTATTAAATATTATATTTAGTAAACTATTTTCATAGTGGTTTGTAATGGAAATGTTTTAGTTAATAGTAATTCATCATTAATCAATTATGCTGCAGGTGATAAAAAATTTGCAGTTTCAATATTAGTTGAATATATACGATCACTGACAGATAACAAAATAACAGTTGAACACTTTCTCTATGAACTGCTCATAAATTGTCTGGTTATAAATAAAATGTATTTTCAATTACATCAAATGATACAATACCATATTGTTATAGATTCTAAGCCATTGGTAATTTTAAATACATATTTTTTCTATTAAATTAGTGTAAATTATTATGAATATCAGAATTGTTTAGTTCAGTTGCACTTGACTATTTGTTCAATTTCCATACAAATGTTTAATTTTTAAATTACTATTTTAGGCTTGTTTATTATTATCATTGGAATCGCTCTATCCTCCAGCACATCAATTAGCTCTGGATATGTTACATAGATTAAATTCAGCACACGAAGAAATAGTTGAAGTTCTGCTTTCCAAGAAACAACTCATCCCTGCTATGAGGTAAGTTCTACAGACCTTTAACACATAAAGTACCACTATATCTTTACCTGCCCCCCTCCCCAAAGATACTTTGTATACTATATATTAAAAAAAACCTTATCTCTATGAAGTAAAGCAAAGGTTCCGAACCTTTGTTATTCTATGCCCCTTGCATCTAAACAGCAACATTTCAATGCATTATTTGGTTTATATTTAGACTGCATTGTTTGATAATGGATTAATGATTATCCATAATCGAGGGCCAACAGATAGCTGTACAATCATGCAAATTAAACATAGTACCTATCAGTATTAGATAACCTACAAAGATATCAATCATTATAAAATACTTGTAAAGTTGATATCGATATGGGGAAAATTTATTTATTTTTTCAATTTTACTGATAGTAAAATGGCATAACAATTTTAACTACAAAAATCTCATTATTTCATCATTATATTCCCCTTGAGCAGTAACTAAATCCCCCCCCCTCCCAGTTGAGAACTGCTGAAGTAAAGTATTCTAAATTCAGTAAATTTGTCTCTTCAAACTTAATAGTGACAGACAACAGGATGCAATGGTTTACTAATAGATACATTATTATAATAATTAATTTGCAGATATATGTCAAAACGCAATATGTTAGATCATTCAACATACAGAAAATTAACTGAAATTGCAATATCAATAGATAATCCAAAAATTTTGTACTCCACTAGAGAAGAGTTTGTGCAAAGAAAAGTAACATCAAACAAATTTGATACAAACACTTGATGTTTTTGTACCTAATGTTTGTTAAGTATTTTTTTTTTATTGATACTTTTCTATTACAATTAATATACTCCTTTATGTTATTAAATAAGTAAAAAAATATTGACCGAGATAGGTGTATTTTTTGGTATAAGCCCCAAAAACCAAATTATTTAGTAGATTTAACTTGTTCTTGATTTATTTACCTTAATTTTAGAATCTGAAACTTGTGATTCAGTATCAGCAATAAAATACATTTTCACTGTTAGAAACTGCAGGCAAAACACTATCTGTGAGATGATAAACTTGTCCTTAAATTTTAAAGTTGGCATAAATTACTTTTCAATAATCTATCTGATTATAATTTTCCCATAAAAGACATCATTTGAAATGTTTATGAATGGATATTTGTTAAAAACTTTTTTGACAATTTATGCAGACCTGATCACAAAGGTAACAGAGGCTCTAGATATGGCAAAACTTCTTAGCAAACAATTACTTGTGAACAACACATGCTCTTTCACTCTTCCTTCCATTTTAAAGCTGAACAAAATTAACATTCATTTGACATCAAACCTAAACATACCAAATTATCAATCATATAACCAATATTTGGGATCATCCTAATATTAGAGTTCTCCCTTAGATATTTGAAGGACTTAATAAGTGACTCAGTGACTCTTGTGATGAGGGGCATTATTTCAATTTTTTTTTTTGCGTGTACAATAAAAATAGTGTAATACATTAATATTCAATATTTGTGAAATAAATAAAATGTATAAGAATTAAATATTTCTAGAAAATAATTTTGTGGTATAGGTAGTTGCCAGTCAATATTAAACATAATACATCTTAATATTTATGTGTATGATGACAGTATATTATACACACTATGCAGTGTCAACATCATTTCACACCATATACCAATATAAAGGTGTCATATTATATTTGGCAGTTTATCCTCCACACCATACAATTCTACCCTTATTTATTTTTTTTATTCTACTACAGCGGTGTTGGCATCAATATTAATTTTTTGAAATATTTCACATTATTAATGATTACTTATTGACACAATTAATAGAAAGTTAGATAACTTAACACTGATTCAAATTGTCCTTGATGAGGAAAGAGGGGTAGTTTTATTAGTATTAATTACTATTCAAAATGTCGTCCTTGCATTCATGGCCTAATTTATTTATTTGTTTTTAGCTCTTAACTATTGCATCACTGCTTAAATATTAAATTCATAGAACACTTAATTGTAACTACATACATACTAACATACAAAATGATAAGTTTTTAGTAATATATTTTATATAATTAATAATAGGAATAAATTATAGAATTTATTTTAAACTGTAATGATTAATTTATTATAATGTATAGATTTATACTTTTTCATTGAAAAATAAAAAATAAATAATGAAAATATAAATTTTAGATTTTGAGTATAGCAAAGAATGTATTGGTTTTACAAAGATATTAATTTTTTTATAAGTATCGGTATAGCTACTTTTCTGAAAGGAAATTTTCCTGGAATGGTAAAAGTACCATCCCTAAAGAAGGAGGTCACTTTTTGATTTTCCTAGTTTTCCAAATAAACAGAAAAAACTGAAAATTTACAAAAATAATGTTTTCATTATTTTCAATTTTAGTTTTTATATTGTAGTTCAATGAAAAATATTTGTAGAGACTTGACATATTATCTTATATTTGAATTTTTACGTTCACCCCTTAAATAATGGTTTGATTAATGCTAATTTAAAGTTATCTGGGAAAATACTATTTTTATTACTTAGATTAAATAGATGAATAAGAGGATTAACAATTTGATCAGAAATACTTTTTAATATTTTTATTGTTATCATATAGTATCCCGTAGCGATGTCCTCTCTACAGTTGTTTATAATTGATTTTACCTCTGATAAATCAATTTTTTTTAAAAAAAAAATGTATTGAATGATTGCGCATCAAGGTTGTTAATCACATTTAAATTACAGTTTGTGTCAGTAAGCACAGTAGCTTAAGTTCATATCAAAATTTAAACCATTAAAGGCTTCTTTTAATAAAGTAGTAAGACTATTATATAGACTATTTAATAGTCGAACAATAACTGTACTATGTGAATAAAATTGTTAAACCAAACATAAATGCTTGACAATTTAACAGGAGATTTATTAGTGTTCAACGAGAAATGTTAAGTTTAATGTAGTATTTTTCTTTATACAAATTGTAATATCAAACTTTCACAAAAATTGTAAATTTATAAATAAATGAATAACCTGGATTATTATGAAATGTGTATTGTTGTAAACTGATAAAATTACCAAGTCAAAAGGTATAACGCAACTGAATATGAAGAAATAATTGAAGAATACTTAACAAAAAAATTATAAAGATTGGTCATTTTACATAGAAATAATTTATTTTAATAGGACAGATTATTTAAAATGAGTTATTATTCGACATAGATATGTTTAAAAATATAAATTATTTGGTTATTATTTACTATCTAAAATGTATTGATATAAGATATTATTTTTAAAATAAGTTTTTGGCAATTTAAAATATTACAATTATATTTCTTTATTTTATTGTATATATGTAATTCTTCTAAAACTGAATTATTGTGAATGTTATTTTGGATACTTAATATCCTTAAGTTTGTATTTACATCAAAGCTTATATTGTGGTTATTTTAAAAACACGTTTAACAAATTTTGAATTAGAGACAATCTCTTTAAATTTTATTTTAGAAATGTGCTCTTTTTATCTTATTTAAAATTTCTATTTTTCATACCTATATACAATTTTTTACAGTTACATTTAGGTTTATATATACCAGCATTTTTAAAAAAAGGGATTTTTTATGAAGTTTTTTGTTCTATTGTTTATATGTTTGATTGAATTATTAATAGTCTTTAAAGCAATTTTTACTCTATTTATATTGTTGTTCAGAATTTTAGCGAATTCATTAGACATATTATTTTGATATTTCATACTATAATAGTTAACAACATTATTTGGTGATTTGTGTATTATTTTTTCTTTAATGCATAAAATTATTGTATTGTATTCTGAATACAATTTCATCTATAATCATAATAATATTGTTCCAATATTACGCAGTCGCAAATTACGACTCAAATGGCTGTGTGGCTTTCTGAGGTGATCAAGATGGTACCAATTATAAATGACTAAACACATTGTTATTAGCTTGAAAACACTCAAACATATTTTATCAGCATTGAATTGCCAATATTTAATCAGTTATTGGCAGGGTTGGGACTTAATAGCCTTTGCATATTTCTTATGAGATAAATAAGAAATAGTAGAATAAGCTAAAAATGTGTTTCATGGTACAGAAAATTTAAATTAAACATTTTATTTTGGATATTTTTGCGATTTTTTAAATTTTAATGTTATTTTTGAAATATTTGCATTTTTACCTCTTTTTAAATCAAAATTGGTCATATTTTATGAAATTATAGTTCAGTTAACATGCTTTAGATTTTTGTCCGTCAAATTGTCAAAGTAAGTACACCGATCCTAGGAATACGTATTATTTGAAACGGGTTATCTGCTGATTTTGTTGGAGTTTTTTCTATCAAACTGATAGATATAGACTGTGATTATCAACAAATAAGTGTTTATTTTTTTACAGCTCTTCAGGATTCTGATCAGAATGAATAAATGATTACAAAACTTAAGTAGGTACCTAACCACCTATAATAATTTGTTAATGATTTATAAATTTTAGTTTTTTTTTTTGCATATTTACCTTTATTAAGGTCATATTAAAGCGCATATTTATGCAATTTTAAGTTCTATAAAACCATTTAGAAATCCATAAATTGTACTCAGCCTCAACTGAATCTTTAAAACCTGGCAAATCATCCCTGTAAAAATCAACTGCTTCCGGAACAAATAAAAATTAATTAATTATATAAAGAGAAATAATAATTTCTTAAAGACATTTAAAGACATTAATCATCTAAGTGAGGTGTAAAAATAGTTCTCATATAATATTCTTCAGTTGAATAATGTAGAATATTTGAACGGTTTCTTTGATTTTAATAATGTTGTAATCGCTTTTGATTTGGTGTAAATATCATCAAATACATCCGAACAATTTTCTCTCATTTTTTAAAATGTTAATGTATCGTTTCTATTTGTTTAAGAACTGTAGCCAGATCTAAATTTGACTTGTAAGTATTATGAAAAATTATATATATATATCCTAATAACTTACTTGAAATATTGACTGCTACAATAAAATTAAAATTAAATATGCAGTTTAACATACTGTTAGTTCTAGTTGAATCAGTTTTTAATTGTTCCAATGCAGCAACAATTGGCTCCGAAAATTCTTTATAAATCAAAACTGATTCATGATGTAAGACCCATCTTGTTTCATACGATGATTTTATTTTTGTAATCTGAACATTTTTTTTTATTTCCAAAATTTTGTTTTTAAGAATAGTAATTCGCGATATCACCACAAAATTATTTCTAATTTCTTGTATTTTTGTTGCATCTGACAAAGATTCAGTGAATGGGAAACGCAATGGGTATACAATGCTTTTGAGTATTTTTCTTTGATAATTACGAAAACTACCCTTCATTGCTGAAGAACCATCGTATCCTTGTTCACGTAATTTATTTAGATTAAAGCCAAGTTTTTGTAATGTAGTGGCCAACCCTAAACCAGTAACATCCTCAAATGTAAGAAAATCTTCCATGATTTTCATTAAGGTTTCATTGAACTATCTTATACATAAAGAAAACTGCTCTATTTAAGTGTATTTATTTATTTGAGTATCTATTTTAATGTTTGTAGTTTTATCTGCAAGAACTGTAAAAAATTCTGTTTTGGAAATTTCATTTACTAAGTGAGATTGAATAAGTTCTCCAAATATTGTAGTTATTTAATTTTGTATTATAGGACTGGTATATAATTTTATGAAATTAGAAGTGTTAAAATGTTCTTTTAAAATAACATCACTACTATTAGCATGGTACTGTAAAAGACTACGAAAATGACTATAATTTTTGTGAGGTTCATCCATCGTTATACGCTCCCATGTCCTTGTAAGGCTATTTGCTGTCTTACACAAAACTTAATGATCTGAAAAATTGGTTTCAATTTCTTTCTGTTAACTGATATATCTTTGGCACGTTTTATATCAAACTGTATTATAATACTATCTTTTTATTCAAAATTGACATTATATTTTCATTGTATTTTATTGCCATACCTTCGCTATTCGAAGAGCAAATTTGTCTATTTTTTAAATTTTAATAATACGAAATAAGTTCAGTATACACAGTAAACAAACATTAAGGATAAATTGTGGTAAATTTTACGTACTTTAAATAGTATATTTATTGATACAATTATTTGTGTGTTAACCAGTTTACTGATTAGGAATTTCGCCACATTGCACATTGTCATTGACAAGCTTATTATTAGTATCTATGATTTCCAGTATTATCTCCCAAACTCTCGTAGTAAAGTTTTGTCCATAAGCTATGAGATCGGTAAACAAAATAAAAATATGAATTTTAAATGAAATTTAAGACTTTTGTAGCGACTTTCATAAACAATAGAAATATTTTTAGATTTTCTTAATAAAAGGGGCTGCTGCCAACGCGGCTCCCCCATAATTACGCCCCTGAGGCTAAAATATCAACTAATTTCGACCCCACAATTGCTGCTCAATTTCTTCAAAACCGTCTTACCCCTACGGAAGACTGTTCACTAAATGGAAGATCAAAATAAATCAATCCAAATCCATTCACACCACATTTACCCTGAGACTTACTCCTTGTCCTGCTGTTTCTATTTATGGCATTTAATTCCCAGGTTATCTACAGTCAAATAACTCAGACTAAATCTTGATTGTAGACTTACTTGGGTTTAACATATCAGATAATAAAGCCAGTATAGACATATTGCATTTAACTTTGGGGTAATGCAAAAAAAAACAAACCAAAATAAAATTATAATTTTTCAAAATATAGCTCTCAGAAAGCTACTAAATGCCCCCTCTTATGTCTCAAATGATACCAAACACTCTGACTTACAACTAAATGAATCCAAAATACTATACAAAAGTCTCCAAAATCGTTTAACTTCAAATGTAAACCTACTTATAAAAAAATCTTGCTATTCTTTCCATATCTAGAAATTAATTCTGATAGTTAAAGAGAAAATAATGATATGTGACCTTTTATTAACCCTCCCCCCCCTCAATTTAATTAAATTCTAGTTGGCCATTTAATCAAATAAAAATTTAAAAAAAAAATTAAAATTGTACAAGCTTTGAGTGTCATTAATGCATAACTTCTTTTCTCACAATGCAATATATAAAATATTTAATGTTAAATGTTTTGAACAAAGCATGTATCTTAGCAAATATAATGCCAATCAATAAAGATTATATATTTCATAAATAAAAAAAATAAATAAATAAATGAAGAAAAAATCTTTAACAAAATATTAGTTAAACAGAGCAATAACATAGTGTTCTAAAGTACTATCCTTATGCTAATAAAATTGTTAAATTTATTTATTTTTTCAATCTAGTTTTGTGAGAGGGGAACACATACCTAGAAAAAAACGTATAACTTTTTAAAATTTTGAAAATAGCCATTTTGTAAAATAGAATAACACATTTTATTATAAGAAATCACAATCAGCACAATAATTCCTTATCTTCTATTGAATATTAATTGTTTTCATACCAGTTTTATAGACATTAAACTGGCTATTACTAAGAAACAGTTAATCAGATATGAATGTACATATGTAAATTTAAATGTATAGAATAATATCTTTTAAAAACTGGCAGTTTTGAAGTGATATAATAATTTTTTTTTTTAATTATTAAGGAATGAAAATAAAAATTATATTTTCCTCTACATTTGTATTTTCCTGACACAAAATCTAATTGAAAAAAAAAATGAATATTGACAGAATTATTAGTATAAGGATAACAGTTTAGTTAATGGAATAGAACTCAAAGCAATAAACAGAGAAAAATGGAGGATTTGATGTGAGATGGGATTATCTATAGTGACATAGAAACCAGAGAAGACAGAGAAAGAAGTTTTACAATATTATATTTTATAGAAATGTATTATGAGATGTTAATTTATATTATACTCTATTGTTATATCTTAAAATGAAATTTAAGATACAAGATACTTTATATGTATATACAAAACATAAATTGATCTTTGATATTATCCCTGATACCATTTTACAGTGTTATAGAAATAATCAAAAAACTGTATAATATTTATTGATTATAAATAAATCACAAAAGATTAACATTATATTATATTCTTCAAATGTTTACAAAAGACTAAATACATTAGTTAAAAAATACTAATTTTAAGTAAGTGCAATTTAATATAAAAATTTAGATAGGTATATAGTTATGGAATATTAAAATAATTAAATGGAATATTCATTAAGAATGTAGTTAATATTATACATGTATTATACTTAACTTGTTATACAGTTATTCTTTGTGCATTTGAAAATATAATACATAATAATATTTTAATTTTGTTTCGAAATAAGTTCTTGTTCCCGGATTAACAATGATTCTTTTAGATGTTCTCTTTGCAAGGCTTCTTTTTGTTTGGCAACACGCAATAAATTAGCTCTTCTCTAAACAGTAAATTATAAAATAGGATTATAATTAATTTAATTATTAATTATGACTTATTAGTAATGGCACCCAAATACTAAGAACTTATAATAGGTAAAATAAAAATGTAATAACTTGAATTAACTTCAAAACCAAAAATAACAATGTTAAACTTGTTTATTTTATTTTATTTTTGTTTAATACAATTTACAATCTGTTACTATCTAGAATAATAAGTAAGAGATGAATGAATTTAAGGCTTGAAAAAAAATTGATTAAAGAAGCTTTCCAGTAAAGACACTTAAACAATTGTATACATATATTTATAGATTCATGTGTTTAAAATAATATTATGTACAATTTGGAATTTTGACTAGATTAATAGGTCCAGACACCACCATCTTTTTAATCTTTTCCTGGGGTTACCAGGTAAGTTTACAGAAGCTAGTCCTTTGATTAAGAGATTGGTGTGGTTTTGAACATTTAAATTGAATCACCTATAAAAAGTTTAAGCTACATCTCAAATGGGTGAAAAAGCAAGGTATATATAAATTAGGTATAGGCAAGGTATAAAAAGCATTATGTAAGGACTGATTAGAAACATAGAATGGTACTTTAGCAATAGCATGAAGGGTTTTGGATTGGAAGCGCTGAATACAATTTATGTTAGAAATTTTTGCAGAACAAATTGTAAGTCCACATTGGCTTGAGATAAAGTTTGTATATTAGAAGCTTAATTGATAACTGTATGTGGTTGGAAGTTAGGAGGGAGCGTAGGAAACGAAAACGGTTGTTTAAGGATTGAAGTTTGTTGCGAAGATGAGGAGACCAAGTAATAGAGATCAATAACAATGCCTAAGTAATGAGTGCTCTGCGTAGTTGGAAGGGTTTGCCCATTTAGGGTAAAATATTAAACTAAATTATACTTTCATCAGCACAGGACTTATCTGAATACTTTTCACATCAGATACAAAACTCTTGCCCCCTGATTGATCCTAACATTGATAATGAGGGTAGTAAACATAGACAATACATGTATTATCTATGGTAGTAAAGAAATCGAAACACAGATACATTTAAGAATGACTAAATATTTGCACAATGTATTATCTATATCTATGGCAATAGGTGTAGAACTTTATTACATTAATAACAATTAAAAAAAAAAATTATTTTTAGGTAACTTATACTTAACAAAAAAAAAACTAAACTTTGATATTTTAACATGTATTAGAATATATACAAAACAATAATAATTTATATTTTTATTCTAATAATAAAAACAAAGCATTTTGATTCCATACGTAGTATTACAAAATAACACTTTATACATTTAGATTCTTGCATTTAATTAATTAAAAATTAACCTATTTAATTTATCTGATAATTACCAATCCTTTTTTTATATAACTATTTAAGCTGATTAATATTCTTACTTCTAATGCTACAGTTTTTTTATGTAAACACATAAGTTTTTTTTTCAACTCAGTCAACTGTCCATGACAATATTTGATGGATACGAACTAAAAATTAATTATTTTGTTAACTAAAATATTTAAACAAATATAATTTATTGTATTTTACCATATTTTGTACTTCTGATTCGTTTAACAAATTAGATAACTCTTGATTTTCATTAAGCATGTCACTAATTAGAGATTTTTGTTTATCACTAAAACAATAACCAATGTATTTATTAGTTTTTAAATTTGAATAGTTATTATAGATTTTAAATATTCAACACATATTCTAGATTTTGATCTTTATTAAATGAAACATAATTTTCTGATATTATTAAGTAGATAATTTAATAATGTTTTTTTGAAATATGTAATGTAATATAAAATTTAACAAGTTTTTTTTTGTGATTTCTATGTGTCTGCTGATAAATTAACTAGGTACTTACACTACTTCATTGATTTCCGATTGTGCTTTTTCCAAATTTGGACTCAATTTATTTATGTAAGCGTTAATAATTAACAATCCTGGCTCGACTTCCATCCTAATGTAACATAAAATTATGTACTATGAAATATAAATATATTCAGTAAAAATAAATACAATTATTATATCCATCACAATGAAATGTTCATAAATACTTTGATTGCATTGAGCTATGTTCGGGGTTTGATTTATGGTTTTGGTCTCCCATATTATTTATTGTGTGATAGGTACCTAGTTAAAAACAAAGTGAAAGTGAAAACATTTATTAAATATGAAAATAAATGATTAAAAACTTACAAAATTGAAACTATGAAAGCACTTCATTATCATAAGTTATAATACCAACACAAAGAAGAATACAATGTATTATAATAAACTAAATTTCTATTAAAAAAATAATTTATGTTAATTTTGTCAATAAATAATAAACCTTATCAGCTATTATTGCCACAAGGCACAAATGGTATTACGCAATCGGTATAATGGATCAATGCAAAATAATATGCACAATACCTAAAACATTCACAAACAAAAAAAATAACTAGAAGAATCGACTATCGAGTTAATAAAATTACACGGATATTACAACCATTTTTAGTAGAAAAATTTTAAATTTAAACTCTCCTTTACGGAGAGTACCTATAGATCCAGCAGAACAGTAATACACAATGACCCTAGATTGACCCACTAGATGACATCCATAGCCACACATTCAAGTATTCAACCATAGATAAATTTAATCAAATTAATCAAATTTGGTGTAATCAGATATACGCACGTTGCATTCCACTAACAATATTTGATAAGAAAGCCCAGTGGTTCCCAAATTTGTAAATAATGTTGCCTATTTAACTACTGAAATAATACTCGTTTAATAGCTGTCTACCCAACACCTAACAATGATGAGGTACATATCAATTTAAGAAACAATCCGATACAGCAAGTTAATGAATTTTCCTATCTAGGAAGCTTAATTACGAATAGAAACCAATCAGCAGTGGACATAAAGAGAAGAATAACTTTCACCAAACAAGCTTTCCTTAAGAAATAATAGGCACCTCAAACTTGAAACTCGTAAAAAGTTTATTAGAACTTTTGTATGGAGTACCTTATATTATAGTTGTGAGACATGGACAATGACGTAGAAAGATAAAAACAATCTGCAAGCAATGGAGATGTGGTTGTGGAAAAAGACGATTAAGACCAATTAGATAGAACAAAAATCAAACGAGAGTTCTAGAAAAAATGGGGGAAAAAAGAAGTCAAGTGATTAACATAATGGAAAGGAAAATCAAATTTATTAGACATTTTATTCGTCAATGATTTTCTTAATAATATATTTGAAGGAAAACAATGGGACGAAGACTAAGAGAAATACCTAGAACAAATTATTTCCATGATATAAAAGAAATGGTGGACTGCACATCCTACCAACAACCAAAAGAATCAGAAAAAAACAGACACATATGGCTAACTCCACAAGGCGTTGTCTTTAGAACATGATAATGACCCAACACCTAAAAATTAATTGTTCAACCAATTTTTAAAATTCTATTCAACGTTTAATTTTGTACCTATGTTGCCTACTTAGCTCCTGAAATTGTTCGATTTATTTTGTTATTGCCTATCTTACTTTCGAAATTCTATTCTTATTATCATTGATTATAAATACTATAGATCGCTCACTGGCCAGTTTTTCAACGTCGCGACAATTTGTACATAAAACTTTAAAGCACTGCAGTCGCACAGTCAGTATTGACGGATTATGTTGTGTCGCTATTCGCTAGTGTTACATTAGTTTCTCGTTTAACCGGTCGGTATTTTCGGTATTTTATCTTCCATGTCATGGTAAAATGTTGCCCATGCTTTAATCATGTTTTGACCTTTAACCATGTTTGACCTCTTCTATCAATAGCATCCACACATTCTCGCAGTGATCTCTGCACACGTCGTTGATTTTCTTTACATATTTTAATGAACATAAATTTATAAATTTAATTTATATTTTATTAAATAAATGTGTTTTAACTAATAACAGTAATAATAACCATAACTTGTAAGCATTTATTAGTTTGATTTTTTTTTTTAATAAGAATCAATTTATAAATTTATATCTACAGTCCAAAATCAACCAAAGCATTTAGAAAGATCAATAATTTCTCTATTTTCTACAAATATACTACCAAAATAAGTAACACTCAAAACTAATTGGATTTCTCATATATTCACATCTAATTTAGTTGAAATTATTTTAATTTTAAATAAAATATGTTAGAAATAAATAAATGTCTGCATGCACTCATTGTTGATAATATATGTTATTCATGTATTTTATGAATCAAATATTTATTTATTATGCAAAATTAATTTTTTACCTCTACTACTTAAATGATTATATACTTTGATTTTCAAATAGAATCCCATTTCCTTTTAAATACAAATTCACGTAGTATTTTTCTAAATTTTTCAAATATACAACACTAATATCAGATTTACTATTAATGAGTTACAACTGTTTAAAATTTTGATTGGAGGAGTAGGAAAGGGTAATAAACTTCATATTCATTTTTATATGATAAATTAAGATTCCACTCTTTTATACTCCAACAGTCTGAACTTTAAACTATTATCTTCTATATGAAATTGAAAGACTGTCTGTTTGCTATACAAATCCACACCACTCAATCAATTCATATCACAGACTTCTTTTATTGTCCCAATATCCTCATCACCTCCCTAAAAATAGGTATTTGATAATGTACAAATAAACAAATATATTTAAAGTGTTTTGTATAAATAAATAATAAATATTAAAATTTTTGCTTTTACCTAGATGATAAGGTGCTATTAAATTATTTCTTTATCTACCTCGATCAAGAGTTATTGCTTTCTGTGGGGCTTCAATCAATACTTACTCTGTGTGTAGCACTGGGTAATGTCGATGAATTTGAAGTTCTGGTGGTTCAACTAGCTGAGGTAGTATAGGTTGCAAGGGTACTGGAAGTGGTTGAGGTACTAAATATGACTGAAATTATGTTTCAGGTGAAGTCTTATAGGTCCTAATAATAGTGGGCGAAAATCTGGCCGCGGAGCTGGTTGAGGCAGCTGGTTGTTGATGAATCTGTAGTACTATAGCCTCTAATAATTAAATTGAAGTATGTATTATGTTAGAAAATAGTAACAATTTGAAGTAAAAAAATTAATTTTTGGTTGTCATAGTTAAGGAGTCCCCTTGTATCATTACCCAGCAATATTTTGGTAGGAGGTATTTTTTCTAGGATCTAGGACATTTGGGTGTGACTATTTTGGCGCACCTCTTTTTAGAACATGCATAAAAATTTATGTAAATAATGTTAAACCTGTTTCTTACTTAAATTGACTATATTATATAATGTAAAACAGACACCAGTAACCCACTGCCCTTTTACATTGTAAAATATCCTACATAACTTGTATGTGTATTTAAATACAAAATTAGTCTAGAGTATTAGAGCATTATTTGCAACTTATCAATACTCTTCCTTATCAATAATAACCTGTGCTGCAATATTGCTCTGTACACTTTCCTCCTTCATCCTGTAACATAGGTACTTGATGCCACTGCGTGGGAAAGTGCAAGTTAGTGGTTAGGTGCATTTTTTGGAGAAACCGCAATTTCTGCTCTGTTCACAGAAACCATGCTTGCTGATATAGAGCATCCATAATTTCTATCCACACATCTTTGATATCTAATAAGAGTAAAAATTTAATTTTAAATACCATTAATCATAACGCACAAATTTAATTCGGAAGGTAACAAAATTGTACTATTGTATTATAAAATTACATCATAGATTTTTAATTGACCTTACAGAACAATAAGTAGCTCACTTATTTTCGTCATTTTAGGTAAAAGAAATATTGCAAATAAAAATATTAATATTAATATATAATAAAATAAATGATTGCTTAATTTGATGGTACCTTCAAAAAAATTTGCTTTAACTCCATTTGGAAGTTATGGTCAAAAAACTTCAAAATAATCGACTTTTCTAAAAATCGTGTTTATGAGTTGAAATGATAAAAATTAATATTTTTGGAAATTTCTTTTTTTTTTTAAAAATGGTAGTTATTACATACTTAATATTTTGGTGAAATCAGAATTCATCTATCATACTTACTTTTTATGTTATTGTTAATAAACAAAGTAAAACCTAATTATAATATTATTTCATAAATTTGCATATTAAAGTAACTCAAAATTGAGTTTTGTACTTTTTTTTTTTATTTGGTGTGTAATAACATAAAGAAGTTTTTAGTGAAGTCAGAACTATCTGATATTTTTTTGATATTTATGAACTATTTGAGCAAATACTCCAAAGGGTGGTTTCTTTGGCAGTAATTGAAAAATTGCAGTCTTTGACACTAATTGCCAAACATAACACATTAAAATGCATTCATGGATATCCTCTCAAAGTTGTGTTTAAATGTTAATTGCATTGATAGATGTGTATGGAGATGTCGAGATTATTCCAAGAATTCTCATTGAAAAAAATAAATTTTAAAATTTTATTATTTATTACAATAATTTGACATTATAATCGTAGTGTTAATTTCACCATACCCCTCAGTCTCCCCCATCGGGGTTTTTAGAATGTTGAGTTTATGTATTCATAAGAAAATATGCATTTTTCCACTATTTCTTCCAAAACAAAAATTAATAGTCTTTATCTTTATGTTATTATTAGTAGCGAATCAGGAATTTTCATTGGGAGAGGATTTAACAAATAAAAATTTTTAAAAAAGAGTAATGACCTTTTCTACCGAACTCGATTGTGGGAGTTGGTAATTTAAAAGCCGGATCCTAAGAAGAAAAGAAGTCAATTTCTAATCAATACATCAAGCTTTTTCTCGGAAATCGGCGGAAATGTATGAGTTTCGATATTAGATTATATATATAGATATTTTTAAGCTAATGTAGGAGAATATAACCCTTAACCTTCCCCCCCTGAGCATGCCACAGGTTATTACACGCCGAATGAAAAATAGTCCAAAAATCAATTTTGAGTTACTTTAATATGCAAATGATTGAAAAATAATATTATAATTATGTTTTACGTGGTTTCATAACAGTAACATAAAAAGTAAGTATGATAAGTGACTTCTGATCCCACTAAAATATTAAATTTATAATTCCTACCATTTCTAAAAAAAAAAAATTGTAAATTGCGTGTGAGTATCTCATACATGAGTATACTGACGAATTGAATTAGAATGCAGTAATTGTTGAATTTGATTACTAGTGTTGGCAAAATATTTGTACGATTTTATATTTTTAATTTAGTGTGTAATATATCCACGATATCTACCCTTAACGACATCCGTAGACATCGGTATTATCGGCAAGCATCCTTTCTATCTTATCTATTTTCTATGAGTTTATCGTTTCGTAAAGATATAAATTGCAGGTTTAACGTCCTTTTAAGAGTACATAAATTGTGTTTCAAACAAATTATTTTCTGATCACCTAAGCAATTTTTCTGGATAGATATGCGCTCATCTAGCCACATATTTTTAAAACTTATATCTCCGAATATCCATCTGTGAAGAAACTTGTTGTCAATTTTATTTTCTTCTATATTTTAATCGAATTTAAAATTCGGCCACAAGCTACATACAAATTATTCCTAAGCGTTCACAGATTAAATATTATGTTTTTGCGTATTTTTGTTATTTATATAACATATAATGAGTGAAAATACTTGAAGAAGTCAAATATTGTATGGTTAGTGAACATGTATTCCAAGATCTTTTGTTCCCATGACCATTTTTTTCAAAATCATTAGTTCCAATGACCATTTATTTCAAAAAAACTTTTTCCGCGTTTTACTCGTGGAACAAAGTATTCATGAAACAAATGTCCATTGAAAGAAATTTTTTCGGAACATAAGCCTGACGGAACAAAAGTACTGCAGAACAAATAGTTTGTGGGACAAACTGGTTACACGCCCTGTGAGCAGGCTACCGCGATTTCCTCGTGAGGAGAGTAGTCGAATTTTTATCAGCGAGTACAATAGAGTTCCTTATCACTGAACACCAATTGTCCCAAAGTATTTTTAGTTTTATAATTTTTAGCATTTTAATCTTAATAATTAACATGTCGGTTATTGTTTGTGTTTAACGAGGTAAATCGTGTCATATTTTGGTGTATAATATAAAAAATGTATTATTTAATACAATTAACTCAAACATTTTAATTTAAGTAATATGTTTACAATTTTTATATCATTGTAATACATTTTCAGTTATTTTACCGCTTATAGCAATCGTAACACAATTTCAAGTAAATAGAAATAATTAAACTTACTATTACTATCTTGACCGTTATTATATAAGTATTTTATTATATACATCTTCAAGATATTTTAAATCCATTGAAATTTAATCAATTTTAGGAGGATAGTAATTACTGATAAATATGAAACTGGTATAGGCGTGATAATCTATTATCTATGGTTTTTGGTTTAGACAGCCGAAAGCGTTGGTGTTGCGTTTCAGTATTTCACAATGCAGTTGGTAGTTGGTTGCGTTTACTCGTATTCTCTTCTCGTCCATCACAACGGCAAAACGATATATAACTGATGGCATTAAATTATGCCTGTTAAAACGCCTGTGAAAGAGTCGCGCTCTTGACCGGTAACTGGTAAGTGTAATTGAATATTCGACTAAAAACAAAGTAATTCAATACTACATAGGACGACGCGCATATGACTTGTAACTTTAAATTTTTTATCTCTGCATATTATTTTTTGTATAGTTATTATTACACATTATTAGAAATGTTAAAATGACTAATGAAAAAAATTAATAAATACATTTTGAAGAAATTTACCCTATAGGTAAACGTTCAAAAAACAAATACCTACCTGTTTTAAGTATATTCAATTTAATACATTTTTCAGGATTTATTGGTACTTGTTCGGCATATCTAAGTAAAAATATATTTGTATTTTTATTAAAATTGTACATTATTTTTGTATACCTACCAATTTTAATTTTTTTCTTTTCTTAATAAAATGGTAAATGCCTATGATTATTAGTCGAGATAATACTATAGGTATACCTAGGTACCAGTGTTGGGTAGTAACATAACAGAAGTAACATATTATTTTATTTGTAACATTTTTTTTAATTTCGTTATAAGATTGTTTCCAAGTAATAAAAATGTAATGGAAGTTACTTTTGATAAGTAATTCTTAGGTACTATAAAATAATATGTATGTCTAATGCAGTTATTAGCCATTGGGTATACCAAATATAAAATATAATATTATATATATTAAAAGCCCTTTCATATGAATCAAACGCAATTTTTAATTATTCATTTCATTTTAATTTTACACTAGACCACTTTCTTTTCAATGATGAAGTTGTTGAAAAACTATATTCAGTAATTGAACATTTTATGAAAGTTCACACACCATATCTCACAGTTTTAAATTCAATGATATTAATGAAAGATATTTTTATTAAATTCAATACAGCTTTACTATCTAGTGCTTCAAACGAACATGTTGCTGTCCCATTCATAAAAATAGTTTGCGCTGCCACTGATTATATTTATCTCTAAGTAATTAGTAAAGTAACTTAATTAATTTTTAAAAGCAATTTACCCAACATTGCTATGTACAATAATAAATTAGATTCTAAATAATATTGTTAATTCTTATAATTTGCTATTTCTCTATTTGTGAGTATTTAAATTTGTTTTTTGTGTTATGGACAACTGTTTAACACCAAATTTTAGTTGAACTTTAACCAGTGTTAAAAATAAATAGACACAATTTTTATAAGTATATTTTATTTTATTTTTTTATTGTCTAAAGGCTTTACCTTGTCACTGCATATATATGTTATTAAATTGTAAAAATATGCAAACATTTTATTAATGTGAAATAGTCTGACATGAAGGTGTTTACAATAGATATTTTCAGACTCATCCTTAAAGGCGTTGCTGGCTGTTCATATTTATATTTTGGGTTCCTCAACTAGATTAGCTTACTATGTGCATGTTAAAGTTGAGCGATAACTTTCCTGCGATAGGATTTTCGCGCATTTAGTTCCTTGAACTTTTATAATCAATTTTAAAATGTGCAGCTAGGTATTATAATTAACACCTATAAATTGTATTAATATATACTAGAATTATAATGTTTTGTATCTTATTTATTGCTATGTCTTTCCTAAGTGATTATTATGCGAGGGCAATTTTATAAGCTATACCTGAAATTTGGCCGTGACTGAGACAGATTTCAATAACCTATTTTCCAGATGGTGAATATATATTCAGCGCATATAGGGTCACTGTTTGGTCCACTGAGGCTAACTCGACTAGGTTAACATTACTTAAAATATACCTATAAATTATATTATATACCTATTATATTATTATATTTATCAAAAGCGAAAGACGGTGCCTGTAACATTTATCTGTCTGGTCTTTTGTCAGCTATTTTTAGATTATTTTAAAATTTCATAAATAACTAAATTTTAGTAGAAATGTTGTTAAGTGTCTTATTTCAAAATGGATTTATATGTTATAAAAACTAAGTGTCCTGTATGTTTGCTAATCCAAAACATTCTTAAATTCATATTGAAAGAAATATAATAATATTCTTTATATTAATATATATGTTACCAAAAATTGGAACTTTATGAGAAAAATAAATATTTGGAAATTACTTTAAACATTAAACAGACAGCCAAGAAAACTGCATGGTATAATTTTTCTAATGCTTTAATATTATTATTACCTATGTTATTTTTTAGTGGTTGCTTGAACATGGAGTCAACTCATAAAGTTGGATATTCTAAGATATCTGTAACAGGGCCAGTAGACTTGCAAATGTTATTAAATCCTTCTGTTAACATAAAAGTTAAGCTGCAGCTCTTACAGAAAATTTATGATGTTCTCGGGGTAATTTAAAATTGTATTTTCATTATAAAGTTATAATAATAGTATTATATAATATAGATTATTTTATTTCACATATTTTATTTTCAGGATTGTTGTAAAACTCAACAATACTTTGATACAATGGTTTTTGTTTTTGTCAAATTATTAACTATTGTTGATCCAAGTTTTACACCAGAACAAGACCAATTTGTAAGTATTTTTAAAATTATTATTTGTAAACAAATAGTGTTTAGTGACCTGTGTAGTTTGCTGTTTATTGATCAAATTTATATTATATAAACAACAGCATATAATATTTTTCTTGTTATAACTTAGTTCTTTCAGCTCTCAATAACCTTTCACTCCCGTATAATTTTTGGTATGTATTCTATCCTTAGTTTTCCTTTTCTAGTTTCAATAATCATACTTAAAACATGTTTACCAAATCATTGTATCTTTTTTTTTTATTTTCTTGTAAACATATCCCTAAATGTATAAAATGTGAATGTTAAATCACCCTTGTTTTATATATACTGTTGTTCTTTATATATTTTTTCTTTTCATTGTATTCAATTCTTAAGTATTTTATAGCTATGTTGTTTACTGTATTATTATACATTTTGAACTTTTTATTTTTATCTATCAGTGATAATATTATACATATTATAATATTATAAAATGTATGATTTTTGTTTTATTCGCAGAAAATGAGATTACTTATTATAGAAATAATTCATAAGGTCTGCAATGACACTCACAATAAGGATAAATTAAAATGCCACATCCAAAATCTCATGAGAATATGCTTAAAAATTATTGAATCTGATAATGAGCGATCTGTCGTGCTTTGCATATTTATTTATAGAGATTTATTAACTGTATTTCAACCGAAATTTGATGGCTTTTTCAAAATGGAGGTTAGTTCATTATATTATTTTTTACATTTTTGATAAGTATCATAGTTTATTTATCAATAACATATAAATATGAATTTGGAAAAATACTGACTTTGTGACTTTATTTGGTACCTATTGTTGGGCACCAAATCCAGACTAAACAAATTTGTCCTAGGAGGATAATTTAAAGAGGTCATTTTTCAATTTTCTCAGTAGTTTCCTAACAAATGTGAAAAACTGGGATGAAACGTAAGAAAATCTGGAAAAACTTAGGAAAACAGAAAAAATTGGTACGATATTAAACATATATTATTAAAGTAAATATATAAAGCTTATTTATTTTTTCATAAAATTACATATATATTGTTGACAAAGCATCACTATCAACTGAACTCTGTTCAGAATTTTTTTGTATACAATGGTTTATTGTTGCTTACAGGTATACAGACAAAATAGTGTTAAGCAATTGGCTCAATCTAATTCTGGAAAAAAAAAAACGCAAGTCTCAGAAATGGATAGTTGCTTTCATTATCTTAAACAATTTCGAAAAGTAGACTGGTCTTATTGTTGCACTGAGCCTTTAATTTTTTACATCATAAGTATGTATTTAGGTAATTAAAAAACTGTCCTAGGATAATGGGGATGGATGCAGCCACTGTTCTAGGTAGTTTAATGTATACCTGTAAGCATTGCTAAGGAAAAAACAGTTCTAAGCGGAATTCAATTGATAGTGATGCTTTGTCAACAATAAATGTGTCATATTATGGTAAAATAATTAAATAGGCAAAATATATTTTCTTTAATAATATTTGTTTATTATTATACCGATTTTCCAATTTTTCCCAAGTTTTTCACACTTGCCTGGAAAACTTGGGAAAATCAAACATTTTCACATTTCAATCAGAAAATGAGCTCCATAAACTATCATATTCCATTCAGATTTCCTTTAAGAAATGGTGATATCATTGTATATCTGAGCAAAATTGCTCATAGAAAAGTGGTTTACAGGAAAAAAGAAAGCTGTAATATTTTTAACTAATACCTACATTTCTAACATTTTCCCTTGTTTTTTTTTTTTTGGTTTTTCACATTTGGTGAGAAAATAGAAAAATGACTTCTCCAAATATCTTCCCAGTGAAATTTTCTTTTACTAAAGGGTCTACATTGTATATATTGGAGTAAGCTTTCTGGTAGAAAAAGTGTTCACACAATAAAAAGAATATATATATTTTTAAAATTAATGCATTCTTTGCTACATTCAGAATTTAAAATGGGTACAATTCATTTAATGTGTATTAAAATTATCAATCCAAATTATGATATAAATAATTTTCATAATTTATTATTTTAATTTTTTTTTACTAATCTAATTTATAATTGTATAAAAATTGATATCAGTGGTTTATTCTTAAATAGGTGTTTATTCTATGGTAGTATTGTGATTGATATAAGTAATTATAATATACTGCAAATACAACTCTTAACTTTAATGTCATGATTACAATATAAATATTACTTTTCTTATCAAATCAATTAAGTCATTACAAATTTACTTTTTTTTGTGCCTAGTCCATTTAAGACGAACTAAATGATTAGCTCTAGATTTATAAAATGGATCTGAAGTCTGTAACTTTGGTCCAATCTTGATATAGTGACTTGATTGAAAATTTGGATTATTAAATTATAATTTGGATTCCAGATAAGGTTAATTTGTTGCTCACTACTAGTATCCATTTTGTCAAGCAATATATTTACATGTGTATGCTAATTTTATTTTTATTTTTAGATATTAAATTTTTTCAAACTTATTTTGGACATATACAGAAATTCTTCTACTCCAGATAAAATTTTTCCTAAACACAAATCTAATGATTTAAAAGTATTGATTAAAACTGTTCGGCACAATACTGTTATACGTACAAATAATGCAGATAGTGTAAGTATTGGTATAATTGTTAAGAATTATTCTGAAAAAGAGTTTTATTTTATGATAAATACATCAAGCTACCTTAATCAAAGGTCACATTTGAACATTTTATATAAGATTAATGTGATGTAAATACAATATGAGATTATTTTATATTATATTATTTGAAAATTGTATAAATGAATAATTTATATATTTTTTTTTTGATTTATTGTTTAGTTTAATCTTATACCCATGGGAAGAATATCATTAAAAGTTATAAAGGAATTTAGTGGGATATTGAAATTGTATTATGTACTGTATCATGATGTTCGAGCATTCATAAAAGATATTTTGGATTTTGTTCCAGTGCTTATGAATTTTTTCAATTTGGATATACCTTATAAGTATATAGTTTTATTTAAAAATAGTAATTGTATTATTTGATTTATAAAATTATAACTTCAATGCATTTCAGACCAGATTACAGAGATTTAGTATTAGATTTAAAACATGCTCAAGCCAAATTATTATCGTTTTTTTCAATAATTTTAAAAGACCATAAAAATACAGTTTATGTACATTGCTCTCCATTGCCTGGAAGATTAATAAGCCTTCTAAGTTGTAATATGTCATCAGATGATAGTAGTCTTCGTTTGGAATTGCTTTCTGGACTTGAATATGTCATACTTAGTGATTATAAATGTGGTATGCTTATATTAATATTTGATGTAGGTTACTAGTCATATTATGTATAATATATTAATTGTATTTTTATAGAGTTTTTACCACACATGGATAAGTTTATAGATGAAACATTAATCACAGGTAAAAATTGGTCATTGAAACAAACATTAAGACCTAGAGCTTATATATACATAGATCATCTTACTACAAATTTACGTGGTCGACTATCAATGAATTTTCTCATGCGTGTAATTCATTTATATTTTTCAAATATATTAGATTGTACACTTCAACCAGAGTAAGTTCTTACAATAAGTTATTAAAATAAAAAACTGTTTTTTGAAAACCATATAGTCTGCTGTTTGATTAATTAAATTTAAAAGAAATTATGGCCAAGTATTTATTTAACACAACCTTTTAATATAGATATAAAAATCTTGATATTCTTTTTACATTTGTAGAATTATATTTATTTCATAAATATGTTTTATTGATTTGACAAAAGCTATTTGAAAAACGGGCATTTTTTTGAAATTTGGTGTTCATTAATTTTGCATATGTAACATGACATATATTGTAGTGGATATCCATATAATAGAAATAATTCTTAATATTTCAATACAAAATAATGTATAGTGTTTGTATACACATACTTAATATCCATTTTATGTTAACACATTTTTGAATTATTTCAAAACATTTTAACAAAATAATTGATAATATTATATTTTATCTTGTATATAAGATTATATTCTTAAATTTAATTTAATTCCCCTCCACTTTATATATTATTTTCTTTAAAAACTGATAGCATAACTTATTTCTAATTTTGATTCAAAACACCATTAATCACTGTTTATTTTATCTATTTCACTGTTCTGTAGTTCAAATTATATATATTATTTCATCAATGCTGATGTTTCAAATAATGTAACAAATTATTAATGAATATAGAATACCTAGATCCTTGGTAAATGTTTTATTCAGTTCTCAATTCAAATGTTATTATACTTTCAAAACATTTTTTATACATATTTAAGATGATTAATATTCATACTTCTAATGCCATATAATTTTTATTTGAACTAACTATAATGAACCTTAGATTACATTTTAAAAAACATATATACAGCCAAATAATGTTATCCATAATTGCATCACATAAAAATTTAAAAAGTGTGAAATTTTAATTGAAACATTTCAAGACTAAATTATTTTAACCAATTTACAAAATAAACAAAAAACACCTGAAAATATTAAGACTGAATGTTGTAAAAACTCCTTTTTCCCAAGGTTTTCCCGATTATTAAAAAAACTCCACGAAATCTGTAAGCAACGATAAAACATTGCTAACCTAAAATGATTCATAGCAGAGTATAGTTATATATGTCCAGAAAACGCAAATATAAAGTTTTCATTAAAATTCAAATCTTTTTATTTATAATTTTTTATTAAAATAAATTAAATTTTTTTTTTTTTTTTCTTGGGTTAATCGGCCACTAGGACCATCCCGTCTCACAACCAATTCTCCAGGCATCTCTATTCATCGCCAAATCCTTCTAGTTTGCTCCGCCTCCTAAGACTTCTATATCTCTCTTAACTAAATCTTCCTATCTCAATTTTGGTTTTCCCAAAGGCATTTTTCCTACTTGATTCTGTTCTAAAACCATTCTTAGTAAAGAGTTCTGGCTTCGCATTGCATGTTCTGCCCACCGCAACCTTTTTTTCTTGATCGTCTCTGCTATGTTATTTTCATTCAAAATTTCTTGTAGCTTTATATTTTTCTTTCTTCTCCACTCCCCTGTGATGTTATCTTTTATTGGACCGAAGATNACCATAATAAGTCCTGTTTCCCGCTTGGATTCTCATGGCTACTTCCTTGGTGATATCATTTTTTTCAGTCACAATTGAGCCAAGATGTTTGAAAGAATTGACTCTCTTAAATTTAAAATGATCTACCTCTAAAACGTGATCCATCCAATTTTGTCTACCTATAATCATATATTCAGTTTTTTGTTCATTAATTTGTAGTCCTACTTTCTGTGCTGCGTCATTAAGTCTGTCACAGAGCCCTTTAACTTCAGCTTGAGATTCGCCCATCTGTACTATATCATCAGCATATGCCAATAATGGAATAGTCGAGTTCCGGAGTTTTATTCCTTCATGGGGTTCAATTTTCATCCCTCTTATTACTTTTTCCAATACCAGGTTGAAGAGAATAGGTGAGATGGAATCACCCTGTATAAGGCCGGATTTTACTGTAACTGGATCAGACTTCATATTTCCGACTTTTATTTTGACCGTTTCCATGATGCTGATTGACACTAGATTGACCAGCTTCTGGGGAAAATGGAACTCTTTCAGAATATTTATGAGACTTTCCCTATGAATACTGTCGTATGCTTTTTTGAAGTCAAGTATGTATCTCCCTATCAAATTCCTACGTTTTTTGATATAATTGTCTAATAATAAATATTTGGTCCCCAGTAGACTTCCCCAGTCTAAAACCATCTTGATATTCACCAATTGTCTGTTCTGCATTTTCTTTTATTCTTGTTAGAATACAATTTGAGAAAACTTTGTATGCCACATTCAGTAGGGCAATTCCCCTATAATTATTATGGTCTTGTTTATTTCCTTTTTTGTGTATTGGGCAGATTAGGGACGTTTTCCAATCTTCTGGAAATTCTTCCCTTACCCATATTTTTTTAATCACTTGCCAGATCCATTGTGTCACGTCCTCCCTTCCTTTTTTAAGTAATTCAGCCTGGAAACCATTTTTGCCTGGAGACTTATTGTTTTTCAGATTCTTTATTTGTAAGTCTATTTCTTCTAGAGTTGACTCTGGACATTCTTGGTTGTTTATATTTCCTAGGTTAAACATGAACAATTCGTCTGGTTCTTCACAGTTCAGTAATTCTT